ATCCATCCTCGGGTGAGGATTAAAAAAATAAAATGCAGCTTCTGACCCAGCAGGTCTGGGGTGAAGCCCAAGATTCTTCATCTCTGCCAGGCTCCCGGGCGATGCCTGTGCTGGTCAAAACCATATGCTGAGTGTAGTTCTAGAACCACAGGGACCAAAATGGGCACCACTATCCCCTTGGGGCCAACTGAGCTCTGTATGTGGCTAGTGCACAATAAAAGGGACCGAAAGTGTAAAGTACACACAGGCATTCAAAAACAATACCCAAAAAAAAGGAAAATATCGCATTTATAATTTCTGTATGATGACATGCTGAAATGATCATGTTTTTTATATTTTGGGTGAAATAGAATCTATCAGTAAAATCAGCTGCACCTGTTTCTTTTTCCTGTTTCTAATACGGCCACTAGAAAATGTAAAATGCCCCCTGTGGCTGTGTGATACGTCTACTGGACTGTGCCACTCCCAGACACTTGGCTCTCCTACAACCCGTCGGGGGGCTGGGGGGTGGAACCACCTCAGTCATGACCCTTGAGTGTATGTGAGGGCCTGTAAATTGTGCAAGGCCGTTTGAGAGGTTGGATGAAGTGCATTGAAGAATATAGCCCCCTCCCTCCCACCCCTAGCAAATAGAACTTGTACACAGGCAATGCCTAGGTTGAAGCAAACAGTGAAAGCAGGCCTAACCATGGAACTGCGAGTGAAAACATTCTGAACAACTTTAAGTCGAGATTTTGCAGAGAAAACACAACCTAAGAGGTCCGGGTGAAAAGGCGGGGGTGAGGCTGCGTCTGCATGGCTTTGGTGACAGGGGGACGAAACGTGTCCGTTCTGCATTTGCTCTACCTGACAGCACAGTTCTCACCACCCTGAGTCACATTCCAGCCCCAGCACCCTCCAAAACCAGAGGTTCCTGAAAGCGAAGTCCCAGGGCAATCACTTGGCCTTGCTGCAAGCAGACACAGGTCTGAAGATGGTATAAGAAAAGGTCAGTAAGCAGGCAGGAATACCAACCCATTCCTTCTGCAGGTCACAAAGCAATCAGCATCACCTAAAGGCTAATTATTCAAACTCTTCCAATTCCATGTCCAAGATGGTTCCATCTGAGTGAATGGCCCTTTCATGTAAGATGCTCCAAAAGTTCATCCACAGTGAGGGTGGGAAAGGGTACACAACACACCCTCCTCCTTAGGAACACACGGTTTCTTTACCTGAAGCCACAGGAAGGTATTACCCGACCCTAAGAGCCGCAGCTCCTCCTGCTCTGTGGGACCGTGATTCATCCCAGGCCCGTTCCCACCCTGCGCCTGCACCAGACACCAGAGGGGAGGGAAGCTCTGATGGACACATGGACAAGTTGATATGAGAGCAGGCACACCTTTCAACATCATGTGGGCACGTTCGCGCTCCTGAAAACTCCGCATTACAGACAAAGGAGCAAAGCCACCTTGTCCTGGGCCAGCACAGTGCTCCCCACCTCTCCCATCACGGGCCCACCCAAGCTCCAGACAATACTGACCAGGTTTTATTTCCAGCAGCCGCAGCTTCGGATCCTCAGGAGGGTGCAATCTTCTCTTCTTTCGCCAGCAGCGCGCGGGGTATGTGTACAGCTGGCCCGGAGCAAGGCCTGTGGACAGAGACAGTGTAAAGATTAAAGGCTCCAGACTGGAAGGGGCCTAGGAAACCACGCTGTCTAACCCTCTCACTCACAGGGAAAGAAGCCCAGAGTGGTGAAGTGACCTGTCAAGGTCACACAGCTGATAGATGGTAGAACCTAGGTCATCTGACCCCAAAACCCTTGCTCTGTCTACTCCACCGTGCTGTCTCCGTGAGCCCAGGCCAAAAAGAGCCATCACTGTTACCAAAACCAGTTCTATTTTCCTGGCCTGGGGAGAAGGTCAGAGGGACCTGTGGACCTATGGACCACAAGAGGGACCTTTCCAGATTCATAGTCACCAGTGTTTCCAAAGCAACAGATCTCAGCTACTGCCCATCCACTAGCCCTCTGCGCAAGTCAAGCAAGTTCCCTTCAAGGTGGAGCAGAAGTCAATCTGCCTATCAATGGTCAGCCCAGATTAGAAAACATTGCAAGGAAACAGGATCAAGGAGCCAGACCTCCTACCTACTGGCTTCCTCCACCCAGTTAGCTGCTGGCAGCTCGCTGAAGCCAAAGGGAGCCTTGTGCAGCCTCCATAAGAATATAGGCCTGCTCTGGTGACCACGATGCCTAGAAAACCAGCAAACCTATATTTCCCCACCTACCTGCCTGGGCCCGACAGAACAAAATGGGCAGGGGTCCTATGGCTGGGCTTATGCACCCATTGTCTCCCAACAAGATTCTCCACTTTAATTGGCCTTTGGCACCAAAGTCCCACACCAGCATCACCTGTCATGCCAAGTAACCCATGAGGAGCCTTCTTGCTCATTAGGCAACACTCTTATGGCTCCTGTGACACATAGTGTGGCAGCCAGAAGCCTTGGAGGACCATGGACTCCCCACACTAGACCATGGTCTCTTCCCAGAGAAAAGAGCAAGGGGTAGAGGCTGAGGGGTGAGGGAGAAGGGCTTGAGACTGGTTAGGTGATCTGCAGACTAAAAAGACTACCTGATGCACCCCAAAATAAACCAGCCAACTAACCCACCCCTGCTAGAATGCAAAGACTGGCAAGCAAAGGGCCTTGGTCTTGTTCCTCTCAGAATCCCCAGAACCAGAACTGAACCTGACACACTGAACAATCAAACTAAATATTTGCTGAATGAATTAATGAACGAATATGTTCCAGCTTCACTTTAATTGGGGTCACAATTCAGTCCTCTGTAGATAAATATGGCACATGACAACTGTTAGATGCAGGCAACTTCACATGAGAGGGTTCCTTCCTAAATCTAGAGCCATGGGGTTCAGACATCAGGACTACATCCCCATGTGTCTGCCATTTGGGGGCCTTTAAAAGTTAAGCGGGCCTGGCTGATGGCTCAGTTGGTTGAGCGTCGTCCTGTGCACCGAAAGGTTGCCAGTTCAATTCCCAGTCAGGGCACACACCTGGGTTGAGAGTTCAGTCCCCAGTCAGGCACATATGGAAACAATGGATGTTCCTCTCTCACATCTAAGTGTCTCTCTCTCTCTCTCTCTCTCTCTCTCAGCATGTCCTCAGGTGAGGATTTGGAGAAAAAAAATGTTAAGATGGACACTGGCTCCACTTTTTGCCCTTTGCAGGAAAAAACATAAAAGTCAATAGAAATGTCTGCTATATACCCATTTATTCATTTTTCATTTTTACTAGTCATCACTACCCGTTTTTTGGTTTGGGTTCAAATCAGAGGCACCTATTCCAGCACTAAAGGAACCAAATTTTTCAAATTCTCTTTATGAGCTAAGTTTTACTTTTAATCACAAAGCTGCTCCCACGGGTTGCATGGCTATGAACGAGTTGGAGGTCCCTAACCCTCCCCCTTTTGATTCTTAGAAACCATTAAGGTGATGGAGCCTGGTGTTATGAGCTAAGGGCTTGTCATGTACAAGAGTCATCCTAATACTTAATACGTGATTTTGTTGATAACTTCACGGCCTCTGCACAGGAGTATCCTGAAGTTCTGAGCTCCCTGCACTCTGGAAACCAGACCTGTGCCAATGTATAGATGACCAAATTAATCAGATAAAGTAAGATTGTTCTACTTCCCCTGGAGGTCCATTTTGGACCACTCTTTGAGGGAGGGCATCACTGGGGAATAATTTGATGTTTCTGGTGTGGTTTGGTCCCGGACCATATCATCTCTGACTCTAATTCCTGAATGCGCATACTAATTCTTGGTCCCTTACAAGAGTTTTGGCCACCTCTTGGGCTGGTGTATCCAGTGAAGGCCAAGCACATGGGCTGACCTGCTACTCCCTGTTCCAGAACTAGTCCCACCAATGCCCACTCCTCTTCGGTCAGAAGCTCTTAATCCAAACTAAAATCAAAGTCACCTGAAGAACTTCTTAATAACACCAATAGCCAAAATTCATGCCAGACCTACCCAATCCAAATGTAGGTAGGTGGGGAGATTGGGCAATTTACTTTTTTTAAAACCTTATAGATGGTTCCAATGTCTGAGCGAGAACCTCTGGATGTCTAAGCATCATCTAGTTACTGCCTAGATGTTCTCCCTGAGGTACTAAGACTGGTTGAATGACCTTCTCTGTTGGATCCCAACATTCCCCGTGTTTCCCCCAAGGTATTGTCATTCATTGCCTGCTTACTGGACTGTCTCCCCTACTAGTTTTATAAGATTTAGGATGGCAGGAACTATGTCCATTTGGAGTATCCCCAGTGCTTTGCACAGTGCCTGGCAGGTACTTCAAGAAATACCAAATAAGTTCAACCAGAAATGAACCAGACTCAGAAATACAGAAAGTGAATGACCATTGCCCCTGCTGTTCCTGACTCCAGGAGACTCATTTACCCACAACCAAACTATCCAAAAGGGACCCCAGGAGGTGGGTTCAGAATTGAACCCGACCCACCCCAGCATGGTAGTCTCTGTACCTTAGACTCTTTCTCTCCCACAGGCTGTTTCATGGTATTTCCAACCTGACCAAAAACATACTAGCGAGAAGGAACTGGTCCAGACCAATACTTTCAAAAGGTCTAAGTGACAAGAGGTCAAAATTGTCAACATTTTTCCAGAGCCTATGCCCTCCTTGAGAATGTGGTCACTGCACTTTTTGGTCAGCAGCAACAGGCAGCCCCAGACCACTCAGCTTGTAGCTGCAGGCCCACTCGCCTGGGAGAGTCTATTTTAGTAAGTAGTTTGAATGTCCAGAAGAGGGGACACTTTTTATTTAATTCTCTCACTTTCCCTGATGGGTTGGAGAAGCTCCGCAGCGCAGAGAAGAGCACATGAGTCCGTGCACCGTCATTCCCTGTCACCTTGAGAAATGTCACACTTCTCTGAGACTGCCTGCTCACCTGTAAGGTAAGGCTGTTAATAGCACCTACCTTATAAGGACTGTCATGGGGATTAGCTTATATTCAAGAAGCAGCTCTTTATCATCATGAAGCCTTGTACAAATGTCAGTAATTATTATGAGTTAGCTGACTTAAACGAGTCTGGACTCCACGCCCACGTGACATGAGAAGGCCTCGCACCCGCATGGCCAGGCTGCTCTTTGCTTCTGTAGCCACAAGAATGGAAACAGGCCTCCCTTAAGGTCCTTTTTGACTCCACCTCATCTCAACAGGCCTATAGCCCCAACAATTCTCTGGGGGCTCCTGTCCCCCTTCCTCACCCTCCTCCTTAGGCTGACAGGCACCAGGGTGCCTTTATAGGGTCAATGCATTCAGCTCTGGAGTTGCACTTAGAAAGGGATGAACAGAGCCCCGTGAGAGTTATGTTGTTTATCTCATTAGAACAGGAGGCACATAACTCAGAGCCCATGTGTGTGGTAGGTGGAGGAAGGAGGAGGGGAAGGCAAAAGGAGGGTGGAGTCACTGCTGCAGCCTGGGAAATTAAGCTGAAGGAGTCAGCCTGAGGCTGGGGGGGTGGGATATGGAGGAGAGAAAAGGGAGACTAGAGGGCAGATCAGTCCTCCCTGGGAACCAAGGCCCTCCATCCCACTAAGTAAAATGCTTTCCTGTTACTTTTAGGTGCAATGACAGTTACAACACTCATTCGTGTGCAAGCATCTCACACATACACACACACAGGAACTCACACACTTGCTGGAGGGGTTGGGGAGTACTGGCTCCATAGAAAAATTTAGCAGGATGGACGATGCCTCTATGATCAACAGAGTCAGACAAATTGCTTGCTACCAGCATTGCCCAAGTTCAGCAGGTGGATACTTAGTGTCAGGAGCATCTTTGAAAGCATGAACTATTAAGAACTCAGAAGATGAAGTGGGATAGAAAAGGGAAGAAAGGATGATATGGGATACGAACAGAATTTTAAAAGATGAACTGTAATAATTTCCTTTACTCCCACCCAAAGCGGAGCGGTGACAGTTCAAGCCCACCCAGAAAAGGGCTCTCCCTGCAGCACCTCCCAGGCAGTGGTTCTCAACCTTCCTAATGCCGCGACCCTTGAATACAGATCCTCATGTTGTGGTGACCCCCAACCATAAAATTACTTTCGTTGCTACTTCATAACTGTAATTTTGCTACTGTTATGAATCGTAATGTAAATATCTGATATGCAGGATGTATTTTCATTGTTCGCGACCCACAGGTTGAGAACCACTGTCCCAGAGGTTAAACCCACAGCTGCTAGTGAACCCTCCTTGCCATGGAAAACTCATTACTTCACAGAACAGACTTACCACAGTGGGCCGATTCTTACTATGATAGAGTTTTGCCCTGCTAGTCTTTTGAAGCAAAATCTGCCTTCCTGTAACTTATGCCAATTTGTTCACCTTCTGTCCCAAAAGTGGACAGGTGTCATCTGCATCCCATCCAACCCATCCGCCCACTAGGGTATGAAGGAGAGCTAACTGAGAGTCCAAGGAACTAGAGGGAAACAGGAGTTGGAGGAAAGAGGCAGTGACTACACCTGCCCATGAGCCAGAAGTTCTTCACCAAGACGGGCATCACAACTGCATCAGTAGTTATTGTGAAGGGCAGGGGCCTGGGCCCCAGCCCAATCCTACT